ACAACCCTACTCAAAATCCAGAACATATTTTTTATAAAATTATTTTTGGCAAGATGATTCTAAAATGTATATTGAAGGACAAAGGGTATAAATACCTAAGAAAATTTTGAAGAATAATAAGAATGATGTGCCCTGCGAATTATCAAAATTTATTATAAAATTATATGAATGAATGAGAATGTGCCAACATAGAAATAGCTAATAGAAAGCCCAGAAATACATCCATGCAAACATAAAGTTTTGATATCTGAGAGGGGAGTGGCAGGATAGGTCAGTAAATGGAAAAATAAAATAAACAAAAATGCCAGCCCTGTTAAGGCCTTAAATTTCAATAATAACACTTCTAACAGAAAATATAAGGGAATCTATTTCTGACTTTCAGATGAGGAAGGATTTCCTAATCAAGACACAAAAACTATGCTGTTTTGTGCTAACCATAAAATTTTAAATTTATAAATTTGACTACAGGTATATAAGAATGTATAAATTATAGTATATTTATATAGTGAAATACAATATAGCAATATTAAGCTTACAGTCAAATTTAGCAATATAGCAGTTTTAAGCAGACAAAACTTAAAAATGAAAATCTTAAAGTAGAAAAAAAAGACACAACTGGAATGAGATATTTGCGTGCACACACACACACACATCTATATCTGAAAAAGGACTAGGATCAAGAATATGTAAACAGTATGTACAGAACCACAAATCAGGCCAGGCACAGTGGCTCACGCCTGTAATCTCAGCACTTTGGGAGGCCGAGATGAGTGGAATCACCTGAGGTCAGGAATTCTGACACCACCCTGGTCAAGGTGGTGAAACCCAGTCTCTACTAAAAATACAAAAATTAGCCAGGCGTGGTGGCACACATCTGTAATCCCAGTTACTTGGGAGGCTGAGGCAGGAGAATTGCTCAAACCCAGGAGGCAGAGGTTGCAGTGAGCCAAGATGGTGCCATTGCACTTCAGCTTGGGTGACAGAGCAAGACTCCGTCTAAAAAACAAAAACGGGCCAAAGACCTAACAGGCATTTTATGAAGAGGAAACTCGTGTGGCCTACAAACATGTGAAGATGCTCAACCTCTTTAATAATGAGGGAAATGCAAATCAAGACCATTGTAGGATATTTATACATTCATTTGATTGACAAAACTTGAGAAGTTTTTTGTTTTTTGTTTTTTGTTTTGAGACAGAGTTTCACTCTTGTTACTCAGGCTGGAGTGCAATGGCGCAGCACAATCTCGGCTCACCGCAAACTTCTGTCTCCCAGGTTCAAGTGATTCTCCTGCCTCAGCCTCCCAAGTAGCTGGGATTACAGGCATGAGCCACCATGCCTGGCTAATTTTGTATTTTTAGTAGAGATGGGGTTTCTCCATGTTGGTCAGGCTGGCCTGAAACTCCCAACCTCAGGTGATCTGCCCAACTCCGCCTCCCAAAGTGCTGGGATTATAGGCATGAGCCATCACACCTGGCCAACTTGAGAAGTTTGATAATACCAAGTGGTGGAGAAAACTACCTTGCATACATTCCTGGCAGAATTATTCACAGACCCACTTTGGAAAACAATTTGGCATTGTCTTATAAAGTTGAATATCCAGATACCTTATGACCCAACAATGCTATGCCCAGGTATATACTCTAGGGAGCCATTTGTACATATGATCCAGGAAATAAGTACCAAAATGCTCATGACACTTTTCAAATGTGAAAAAAGAGCCCAAATGCACATCAATGAAAGAATGCGTAAATTGTAGTAGGTTTATATAATGAAACACAACATAGCAGTGAAAATGAAGAAGCTTCAGCTCCATCCATCAACCTGTATGAGTCTCAAAAACATGATATTTAGTGAAAAAAGCAAGTCTCAGAAAACTGATGCTCTTTTTACACAGTTTGGAAACAAGCAAGACTAAAGAAATAATTTCAGTGTACATGCAATGAAACTATAGATTTTTTGAACAACAAGGATGAAATTGAGGAAACCATCTCTGAGGGGAGACAGAGGGATGATGTCAAGGAAGAGGTGAACTGAAATCATTAGAGGTGTTCTGGTGCTTTGGGTGGGTGATGGATTCACACGTGTCTGTTTTTATTTTGAAACAATATTGTACCCAAGGACCCTCTCCTGAAATATCCACTCCTGCTCTTCCTGCAGGGCCCCTCCCCTCTGCTGGAGACTGATAAAGGCAGCAGTCCCCCACTGTGATGGGAGGGTATCCCCTGTTTAGTGAACTTCTGCCTGCTACTACTTGCTCTTAGTATTTTCCACAGCCAAAACTCATCTTCACATTGATCGTATTAATGGCTGCAGGATCCTTAAGGTGCTGTTTACTTCGTGGTAGCTACTGAGCACCAGGGCTGTTTCTCACCGCTTCCTCACTATCCCAGACAACTTTTCTGTACACAGTGTTGTGCAGAAGGCTCTCTTTGTTCCCTGGGCTAAGGTCTAAGAAGTAGGACTGTTTATATGGCTCTTGTAACATAGGCTCATAGTGTCCTCCAGAAAGAGCAACCATTTCAGAGTCCACAACAGTTCACAAGGTGTCTGTTTCCTTACAGTCCCACCAGAAAGGTTGGGTCTTATAATTGTATTGTTTTCAGTCATTTTGTAGTATGATAAGACCCTTTGTCTCTGTTCTTGTGATTTTTTTTTTTTTTTTTTTGGCGGGAAGCTGATCACCCACATTGTCAGGCCAGGTGTCCTTGAAAGGGACATATATTCTCACATTTTCTACGCTCTGGTCCTTTGTCTCGTGGGAACTTGCTCCCTAAGCACTGCAGAAGACACTGAGGCATATTGTAATGATGAACGGAGGCATCCTTTCTAAGTTCTTCCTCTCGTTTCTGCCAAGATCCCTGCAGATTCCCAGCATTCTGAGAAAGTTTCTCCAGATAATTCTTTAGAGGACAGGCCTTGGCTGGGACACCAGAGGCCCTTGCCTGGCTGGGGATAGCACTGTGGTGGGCCTAGAGGGCGGGGATCTGTGGGGAGGCTGAGCTGCATATGCCAAATCTATTCCTCTTGGACTGGCCCTGGAGGAGTGGCCCAGCCTGGCCACCAGCCCCCATGGGGTCCTCACCTGGGCATGTTACCAAGCTGCCATGCTAGCCCTAGCCAAGAGCTAGGGCCACTTTCAGAAGCCACCACAAGCCCTTCACTCTACTATTGGACAGGGTGGACAGGGATGGAGAAGGGCTCACTGTCTGCTTGGGGAGAAGTCCCCTTTCCCTCTTGGGCCCCTAGTTTTCTACCAGTCACACTAGTGGGCTGCCTCCTTTTCAGACTGCGACTGCTGTTTCATAATCCAGGGAAGAGGTCTCCAGCTCACCGTCCATGGGACAAATCCAGCCTGCAGACACATTTCCCTTGGCTAGCCCATTTGGTGTCTCACTGTATCTTGGAATGTGATTTAACTGCCAAAAGATGATTTCACATACATGCAACGTTTTCTTTTTGAAGTTTGGCCAAAGGGACAGCATTCCCATCTGGCAACAATTAGCAAACCTGAGCAGGGGCCCCTCCCTTAGACTGAGAGTTTGCTCTGTTTGTTGTTGTTGTTGTTGTTGTTGTTTGGTTGTTTGTTTTTGAAACAGAGTCTCGCTCTGTCACCCAGGCTGGAATGTAGTGGTATGATCTCGGCTTACTGCACCCTCTGCTTCCTGGGTTCAAGCGATTCTCCTGCCTCAGCCTCCTGAGTAGCTGGTACTATAGGTGCACACCACCATGCCTGGCTAATTTTTGTATTTTTAGTAGAAATGGGATTTCAGCCACTGCACCCGGCTTCCGCTACTTCTGATTTGTGCATGCAGGAGGCCCAGCAGGGTCCGGCACCATTTGCTCTTTTCACTTGTCTTTGCCTCCTGCCTGGCCCCTAGTTCGGGATCCCTTATCCCAGCAGAATTTGGGGTACATAAGAGGCAGGGAACACAGAGGGAGAGCATGCTCAGATGTGTGTGTGCTGGGAGGTCGGCGAGGCTGCATAAGCGCCCCCCAGAGGGATCTATGCCTAATCCTCAGAACTCGTAAATATGTTTCCTTATATGGCAAGGGGGGGTTAAAGTTGCAAATGAAGTTAAGGTTACTACTCAGCTGACTTTAAAATAGATTATCCTGGATTGTCCGGGTAGGTCCTATTAATCCCAGGATCCTTAAATTCATAGGACCCAAAGAAGCGCAGCTTGATAAAGATTTGGGCAGCCGTCAGTGGCTTTGAAGATGCGAGGGGTCCCGGAGCCAAGGAATGCAGGAAGCTCTAGAAGCTGGAAAAGGCAAGGAAGGAAATGAACTCTGCCCTAGAGCCTCCAGAAAGGAAGGCAACCCTTCTGACACCTTGATCTTAGCCTGCTGAGGCCCATGTGTTCTTCTGACCCCCAAAACCATAAGGTAATAAGTCTCTGCTGTTTCAAGCCACTAAATGTGGGCATTTGTTATAGCAGCGATAGGAAACCAATACAGGATGCATGTGTGTAAGGCTGGAGACGGTGGAGGTGGATAAAGGAGACTTTCCAGGGAGGGCGGGAGAGAGCCTCCGCTCTCCTCTCAGAGATGTGGCTTCTGGACCAGAGCCATCTATACTAGTCTCCCTCTGCAGGGACCACGTCAGCATCCCCCAGTGCCACCTGATACCCCAAGGCCCTGGAGCACTCACTCCCTCTACCCTTCCCAAAGGTCCTCTGCCAGGTAGACGGACCCCAGGCAATTGGCTGTCAATGTGCCAGAGAGGTAACTGAGGCCTGGGAGAGGCATAGCCAGGAGCAGCACTCCAGCTGCCGCAGGAAATGGCCAGACGCCACACCTGAGAACTCACGCTTTCTGAGAGGGCAGCCCGCTCCTTCCACAGACTCCCCACAGCCAAGCAGGCCCAGGCAGGCTCCTGTCCACACCTGTGCTGAGAACGCGGCCGCACAATTGCCAGGTGCCATCATAATTTCCACCCTCCACACCCTCCCAGCCCTGCCTCCCTGGAGGCAGGACCACAAGCCAAAGCCAGGGCCCACCTGACCACAATCCAGGCCCAGCCAGACCCTTGGAAGCAGAACCTTTGAGTTCCACTGGTGTCCAGGAAGTAGTGTCACAATGGGGTGGGGAGGTCCTTGGGGTGGGCTGGGAATGGTGAGGGGCAGCATTCTACTCCGGGGCACAACTGGCCGCAGCCTCCAGGGGCAAGGCAGGTCAGGAAAACTGCCAAACGGCAACCCCCATCCGCCCGTTCCTTTGTGCAGGCTGTTTCCTCCACATGAGGGCTCCATCTCCACTCACAGAAATTCTCCTGTCCTTGCAGATAGCACTCATTTGTCAACTATCCTTCAAGCCTTCCTGAGCCCACAGCTGGAAACAGCTTGGCCCTACCCCACTCACCTCTGCTCTGTCTCTCTGTGACACTTCCCTACCAATCATCCTTGGTCAGAGCTGCTGGTATCTGACCCATCTCCCCCATAAAGTAGAAGCCTCCTCTGCCAGATTGCAGGAACAGGGCTTCAAGCTTCATGCCTGGGGGAAGGGAGGCCAAAGTGGCAGGACAGGAAAATCAGCACAGGGCCTGGTACAAGGCAGACCGTCCTTGTACCAGTACAGCATGTACTCAGGACCTCAGCAAAATTAGGGCATTGCTATGGTTTAATATTTGTCCTCTCCAAAACTCATGTTGAAGCTTCATCTCCAGTGTGGTAATGTGTTGGGGCCTTTAAGATGTAATTGGGTCATGAGGGTAATCTGTTAATCCCTGAATCACCATTCACGGATTAATAGATTAATGGGTTAATGAGTTATGACAATGGGACTGGTGACTTTATAACAAGAGGAAGAAAGACAAGCTAGCTTGCTCAGTTCCCTCACCTGTGCCCCCTTGGGACTCCCCAACAGCAAGAAGGCGCTTACCAGATGTATCCCCTAAACCCTGGACTTCCCAGCCTCCAGAACTGTAAGAAATAAATTTCTTTTCTTTATAAATAACTCAGTTTCAAGTAGTCTATTATAAGCAACAGAAAATGGACTAACACAGACACTAAGACACAAAAAAAATTAAAAGAATTTCATATATTTGGAAAAAAACAATGAAGTATTAATCACAGGGAAGCCTACTTACAGCTATTTTGCAGTTTCCTGTGGCTCAACCTTCACTTGTTTGGGGGCAGGGCACTGCAATCTTATTGGTATCTGAGGCATCAGATCCTTCCGCTTTCACCAGACCTCCCTCGGGGTGTCTCAGTGGCTGGTCCGAGCCCCTCACCGCCCCCAGAGTTCCCCACTCTTGAGCAGCAGCACTCTGGGGGCCACAGGGACCAAGCAGACAGCACAGTGAGCACCCAGCAGCCATCAGTGAGACTGAAGAGCAGGGAGGGAGCACCCCTTTGTTTTGGTTTTTTTTGGTTACATAAAATCCCAGAACTCGGCTGGGCATGGTGGCTCACGCCTGTAATCCCAGCAATTTGGGAGGCTGAGACAGACGGAACACCTGAGGTCGAGAGTTCAAGACCAGCCTGGCCAACATGGCAAAACCCCATCTCTACTGAAAATACAAAAATTAGCCAGGTGCAGTGGCGCACACCTGAAATCCCAGCTACTCAGGAAGCTGAGGCAGGAGAATTGCTTGAACCCAGGAGGTAGAAGTTGCAGTGAGCAGAGAATTGCACCACTGCACTCCAGCCTGGGTGACAGAGTGAGACTCATTTTCAAAAAAAAAAAAAAAAAAAGATCCCAGAACTCTCTGGCCCAATCTCTGGGTAGAGAAGAACTCCAGTAACAGCTGAGATGAATTTCCAATCAGCTCAGTGAGATGGAGGCTCATAGTCTAAAGAAACACTGTGTTTCTTGCAGATATGAGTTTACAGAACAAATATTCATACCAGTTACAAATGTTGATTGCCTTTGTTAAAAATTTAGGAGGTCATTTTTGTTTCCCTTGGTTACGGGTTGAGAAAACTAATAAATATGAGGGTCAAATTGTTTCTAGGCAAAAGGGACTTGCTGTTCAATGTGCTAGAAGCCAATATTATGACACTGGGTTTTTGAGAAAAGAAAAGCTTTTAATTATAGGCCGGCCGACACGGAGACAGGAGTGCAGCTTGAATCTGTCTCCCTGGGCTGGTGCTAAGGCAGCGTTTTTATTAGAAAAGGTGTCGGGATTCTGAGATTAGCAGGTGATTGGTGGAAGGAAAGAGGAGGCCTGGAAAGTCCTGGGGCATGTGCGGTTCTCTTCATGACACCTCATAGATCACATGTGCAGGTACGGGGGGAGTGAGAATGAAACACGCAGTGGAAATTCAGGCTGTGATGTCAGCTAGCAGGTTCTGCACAGACTCTAGTTGGCCCCATTGGTTCCAACCTATTTTAGTTTTGTTTTACAAGTCGAGGGAGTTTCAGTGCCTCAGCAAGTTGTTTCTTTTCTTATCTGCCATCCTGCAAACTCAAGAATTTCTGTTAGTCACTGGTGTCTAACTGTTTGGGGCATAGTTTCGCTTTCACACACCTGGACTAAATGTTCAGGACTGATAGTCACCATTGCCCTAACCTTTGAGGAGCAAAATCAAGGAGATACACAACCAGGGTCCAGTGAAGCCACCATCTCTACCCCACAGAGCAAGGGCCAGCCCCAGGGAGGCCCCGGGCACCTGGGAAGCTGGCTTCTTCCTGGTTCCCAGACTAACAACTGTCAAGGCCTGTCCTGGCTCAGACCCCAGACACCTCTGTAGAAAAACGGCGTGGACCATCCATAGATGACACCAATCCTGCTTCATCTGAAGACATCTGGGAGCAGGAAAACCCCAGAAGGAGCGATACTCTTTCATCTCCACAGAAACTTAAGAGGCAAAAGCAAATTCAGTTCAGAGGCTCCCCACCCACACGCCTGATCCCTAGTCTCCTTGCCTAAGGCAGAGAAAATGGAGAAGAGAGCTGAAGGAGGAAAAGGCTGACCTTCAGCAGCAACTCCCAGCACTTATGGGGGTAGAGTTAATGGCCTTGCTCAGTGGCTTCACTGCCATCTCTGAGCAGCAGAAGGGCAGGTGAAGGAGTAGGTTAAAGATTTGGTGGTGGGAAGTTTGGGAAGCTGCCACAGGACGGCTTCTCCGATTTCTAAGAGGAGGAGGAGAAGCGATCCACTAGAAGGTGGGAGGATGGGAGGTGTGCAGAGTGGAGGGTAGAAATAGCCATGGGGGAGGGCTGGAAAACAAGTGGACTAGAAAGAGCTGGCAGGAACGCTGGGCACTGTTAAAGACCCAGCTGAGGCTGGTGATCATTAATTCATAGCGGAACCGACTTGTCCAGCATGTGATTCTCTGTAGCAATGGCCAGCAGTCTGGGAGGCAGGGAAAGAAAAGGCAGATCATTGGGCTCATTTGCTGCTGTGACTTTGCTAGTTGGGCACAACCAAATGGTAAAAGGATTAAAGTGTAGAGTATTGGCAACAGAGGCAGAAATAATTGCCATCTCTCAATGGAAATTAAATGATGGCTTTTTAATTTTAAAAAGGGTCAACATACCATAGGGGCCAATAAGGCTAAGGATGGTATCATGGAAAGAATGTTCATGTCCCTTTCAAATTCACCTATTAAAGCCCTACCCCTCAATATGATGGTATTTGGTGATGGGGCCATTGGCAGGTAAGTAAGATTGCATTAGGTCAGGAGGGTGGGACCCTCAGGATGGAATTAGCGGCCTCATAAATAGAGGATGAGATGTCAGATGTGACTGTGCACGCCTGAAGTCCCAGCTATTCAGGAGGCTAAGGCAGAGCCCAGGAGTTCTGGTCCAGCAGAGAGAAATCCTTTCTCCCTCCATGTGTGTGCACTGTGTAAAGGTCATGTGAGGCACAGAGAGACCAGGCCATCTGAAGCCAGGGAGGAGGGAGAGGGCCCTCACCAGAACCTGACCGTGCTGGCACCTGATCTTGGACTTCCAGCTTCCAGAATTGTGAAAAAAAAAATTAATTTCTGTTTTTCAGCCACCCAGTCAGTGGTATTTCATTATGGGGGGCCCGACTGACTAAGACAAATGAGCCAGAAGGATAGGGTGCTGGAGTCAGAGCATGAGAAGTCAGTTAGAGATTCATTCATCTATGCACTCATATGCCAGAAATTCTTGAGATTTTGGAGGTGGAGATGGATTTCCCTAAGCTGATGGCAGGGTTGGAGTGGAAAGGACAACTATGAGACAGGTAGCGGAGTTCTGGATGGATGAGGCTGTGATCTGGAGGCCAAGAGGTGGGAGCCAGGAAGAGAGACAGGTTTCCATGACAGGAGGTGTCACAAGTGGGAGGGATAGTGGTTGAGAAGCTGTAATGGTGGGGAGCAGCCTCCCCATCACCCTCTCTCCTGTGTGAGAGAGGAAGAGGCAGGAGGTAGAGCATCTTCCAAGCAGTGCTGAGGACATGGGTGCCCCTGCCGGCATTGGAGCCACTGTTCCAGTGACACAGGGTATCGCCTGTGGTAGAAGTGGCTGAGATGGGGGATAGGTCAGTGTTGCTGGAGTCAGTGGGGACTGTGTCAATGCAGAAGAGCAGCTGGCTGGGGAAGTGTGGGGGCATCTTAGACTTTAGAATTGAAGTAGAGAACGCAGATGCACAGTACAGTGGTCTTCATCTCAGAGGGCCCTGAAGGGGGTGGCCACTGGGCTGCTCTTGGGGAGAGCCAAGGGAGCCCCAGGGCCAAGCTCTTTACCCAGGACACAGGCCAAGAGAGCAGCCAATCAAAGGGCTTTCCTCCAAACCTGCTCTCAGATCCAGCCACTCCCCGGTTCCAGTGCCTCCAGCCCACTTTGTCATCAGAATGTTGTGAGGATAAAATAAGGTAATAAATGCTTGCTATTAATTAATTTTATCATTGTAATTATGTCCTGCCTGGTTCATCTGCTTCTGCTTTCACCCTCCTCCAACACATTCTTCAGATAGAGAGTGATATTTAAAATACAAATCTATGGCTGGGCACAGTGGCTCACACCTGGAATCCCAGTACTTTGGGAGGCCCAGGTAGGAGGATCCCTTGAGCCCAGGAGTTTCAGACACGCCTGGGCAACATAGCATCTCTGTCTCTAAGAAAAAT